TCCTTAAAGCCAGGGGGGGGGGAAGGGGGGCGCCGCAAAGAGCGTTTGACGAGAGGCCTAATCCTTTTAATACATTTTTTTTTTTAAAAAAAGATGTCTCTCTTTCTCTCCCGGGGGACACGCTTCCAATGCTGTTGGGCACACCAGGGAGACAGGGGGACCCCCCCCCCCCAAACGTCTGCATTTGTTGAACGAGGGGAGAGTTCCCGGAATTAGGGAGGCCTTGCTGGATTGCAGCTCGGAAAACAATCTTGATGGCAGGATTAGAAATAATTCCTTGAAAAACCACATTTGGAAAGATGTTGATTGTCGCCTGGAAGCGAAGCCTGTTAAAAACTCAGCGGGGACGCTGAGCAGGCAAGCCCGTGTCTAAATATGAGATGACGCCACCGCCGGCGGATTAACGGCAGGATCACCCAGGCGGTTAAAAAATCTAAATGTTTAGAGACCGGACTCGAACGGAGACCAGCATCCCAGGGGTCGGCATCCTGACTTGTTATTAATTCCCAATGATTTAATTAACTCCCGACCAAGAGGAGAAGGAGGCCGCCTTAGAAACCCTGACCTCAGAGTGAGCTCCCCTGAACACACCGGGACTACTTCAGAACAAACATGCAAAGTTCGCGTCCAAACATTGCTCCCCAGGGGCATTTAATCGATGGGATTTACTCCCAGGCAGGGAAGATTGTATTGTGCGCTAGACGCGCCCTGCCAGTCTATTTTCTGTTCAGCTGGGGACGTTTTAATTATTATTGTAAACCGCCTTGAATCAAGAGGAAAGGCGGGGTATAAAGGCTTTAATTAATAAAGAAGGAATAAACAAATTACTCGGAACTAAGCCACTCTGGGTTCAGCTGAGTCGAGTCACCGCTCGATAAATGGGCTTGCGGGGGTGGGGGTGCCTTTAGTTTAAGTGGTCTTTGCTGGTTTTGGTTTCGAATTGTGGCCTCCACTGGTTTAAATTGTGCATCCCAGGCTTGTTTCCTCCGAAGTAATGCCTGCTATGTTCAATGGCGATAACTTCCAAGTAAGCGCCTACATGCGTGTGGCTGTAATCCCTCACTGATCTCAGAGGGACATCTTTCGACTCAAGGTACATATGGATCAAAAACTGGCTAATTAATAGAAAACAGAAAGTGAGTATAAATGGGCAATTTTCTCAGTGGAGGGTGGTAAGCAGTGGGGTACTGCAGGGATCAGTACTTGGTCCACTGCTTTTTAACTTGTTCATTAATGATTTGGAGTTGGGAGTAAGCAGTGAAGTGGCTAAATTTGCGGATGATACGAAGTTGTTCAGGGTGGTGAAAACCAGTGAGGATTGTGAGGCACTCCAAAGGGATCTGTCAAGGATGGGCAAGTGGGCGTCAACATGGCAAATGGGGTTCAATGTGGCCAAGTGCAAGGTGATGCACATTGGAGCCAAAAATCCTAAATATAAATACACATTGATGGGGTCTGAACTGGCAGAGACAGATCAAGAGAGAGATCTTGGAGTTGTAGTAGATAACTCACTGAAAATGTCGAGACAGTGTGTGACTGCAATAAAGAAGGCCAATGCTATGCTGGGGATTATTAGGAAGGGTATTGTAAACAGATCAGCCAATATCATAATGCCCCTATATAAATCAATGGTGAGACCTCATTTGGAATACTGTGTGCAGTTCTGGTCACCACACCTTAAAAAGGATATTATAGCTTTGGAAAAAGTGCAGAAAAGGGCAACTCGAATGATAAAAGGGTTGGAACACTTTCCCTATGAGGAAAGGTTAAAGCGCTTAGGGCTCTTTAGCTTGGAGAAAAGACGACTGAGGGGTGACATGATCGAGGTTTATAAGATTATGCATGGGAAAGAGCAGGTAGAGAAAGAGGTACTTTTCTCCCTTTCTCACAATACAAGAACCCGTGGGCACTCCATGAAATTGCTGAGCGGTCGGGTTAGAACGGATAAAAGGAAGTACTTCTTCACCCAAAGAGTGATTAACACTTGGAATTCACTGCCACAGGAAGTGGTGGCGGCTACAAGCATGGACGGCTTCAAAAGGGAATTAGATAAGCATATGGAGCAGAGGTCCATCAGTGGCTATTAGCCACAAGGTATAGCTAGGGGCTCTGGGGCAAGTGATGCTCTGTCTTCTTGGTGCTTGGGGGGGGGTCAACAGTGGGAGGGCTTCTAATGTCCTGGCCCCACTGCTGGACCTCCTGATGGCACCTGATATTTCTGGCCACTGTGTGACACAGAGTGTTTGACTGGATGGACCTTTGGCCTGATCCAACATTGGCGTCTCTTATGTTCTTAAACTAAGGTTTTGGATTTAGCTGAGCCGTGGATCAACAATTCTTAATTAGTAGGTGTTGGGAATTACAAGTTGAAAACACTCAGTATATCTGGGGTTAAATGTTTGTTTATGTTACTCACAGGAAGTCACATGTTTTTCATGTAACCAATGTTCTTTAGATGTAGGAAGCCCGGGAATTTTCTCCCTGATCTAGGAATTTGATTGGGACTAAAGTGTCAAGGTATATTACCATTTTATGGCTTCTCTTCCCGTCTTTGTTTTGATGTTCTGAAGAAGAAGAAGAGCAGCCATAATCTCTCTTCTAGTTTTGTCTTTGTAGTGTAAGGATGTAGCTGATTATGCTCTGTTATTTTCATCCCAGTTACCCTTCCCATGCTAGAATTTAGTAAAAACTTTATATTTTAATCACACATGGACTCTCAGTCTGAATTATTTTACTCTGGCTCTGCTGGACTATTTTATCTCTGCTAAATACCATTTTTTCAATATCTCACTATCACCCAACAGTAGAATTTGTTTTTTTTTAAATGTGCTCGAAATCGTAGCGTGGCGCAACCCGCAGAGGAGCACTTTTGGTACGGTGAGGGCGTGGCTTTTCTTCTGCCTGAGGGGGGCCGAGCGAAGGCCCACTTTGCACCACTGCCGTGCGGGCAACAGAGGCCCTGGCGAGCCAGCAGCCCGGAGGAAGGTAGCGGCGGTTGCTTGCCTGCACAGTCGTGGCACTTGGAGTGCGCTCCTGAAGGGCGCTTCTCTTGGCCTCAGGTTCCCAAGGCGCTTTTCTCAAGTCTTACTCGAGCTGCTTCCCAGAACTGCGGCTTTTTTGGTTGTTTTGAAGTCCAATGCTGAAGGGTACTTGAAGGTACGGTGGCAATAAAATCCAAGGCTTAGAAACAAAGGCGGTTTTTTTAAAAAACAAAACAAAACAAAAAGCGCTGAACTTCACTGTCCTTCAGCTCTGGTAAGAATCACCACAGAAGGTTTCTCGGCGGGTGATGCTGACGCAGAGATTCCTGCCTGAATGTGAAGGTCTCCGAAATATGCCAGCTCCCTTTTGGCATCTGAAATATCCTCATAACGCGGCTGTGGGGCAAACGGAGCTCGTCGTTTGTCCCTCCAGGAGTCTGGGTTTTTTGTTCCAGAAAACTATTTCCAAATGCGGCTCTTGAACCGCAACAAAATGCTGCCCATCAGTTTCCCATCAGCCCTCCAGTTTCCCTTTATTCTGCGCTCAATCCTGAACAAAAGAGACACCAGCGGTTGGGGGGGGGAAGCCTTTTGTTTTGGTTTTGCCCTCCTTTCCTCATGACGCCGTCTAATCTAAACTGATTGTTCTCCACTTGGCTCCTTGGCCGCTAACTTTTCCTGCCCGGCCCATGGAGGTACTCACTTTCTCCCCTGTAGGACGCAGACAGTGGCCCACGGTTTTAGGAAGGGCAGGGACTCTAGGAGCAGCCTCAGGAGCGTCTGGATGCGCGGCAGACTCCTGGCTTCTGCTCCCCAGACGGACTAGAATTCTTACTCGTAAAATGGGCAGAGTCCGAAAGCACAAATCCCTTTGCATGAGTACGATTGGCCGGCCTTGTTTACCTGTGGGTCATTTAGGCGCGGGGAAAAGGTAGCTCCGAGAAGTGCTATTAAAGCCCATTGCTTTTGTTGCGGCTGAGTCTGGCATATAACAGGCGGGTTTGCTTTGTCGACTTCAGAGAGACACTGGTAGGGCCAGAGGTTTCGTGAGGTCTCTCTGCACCTTCAGGCTTCGGTCCCTCTGAAGAAGCAGACATGTGCCAAGCAGACTGAGTCACTTTATTTCATTCATTTGTGCTCCACGTTTCTCTCCGGTGGGGACCCAAAAAGTGATCTGCGACATTCTCCTTTTCTTCACAGCCTCCTGACAAAACCGCGGCGAACTCGGTTAGGCTCAGTAACCCTGCTGGGAAGGTCACTGCGGCCGCCACTCTTGCAGCGGCATCCTAAACACGGCCACACCCTTCTGAGTCCACTGAAGACAGCGGGCTTAGAATGGTGCCGCCGCTCTGCTTAGATCCGGCCCGGTTAAATACGCTTCTGGGGAGGAGTGACCACTGGACGCACCCAACTAACTTTGGAATAGATATGCTTTAAAAAGCCATAACTGAACAACCCCCCCCCCCCTTTTACTGCCGGCGTCTCCTTGACGCACCGGTCGGTCTCCCCGGCCCGGCCAGCAGTTCTGAGCAAAGTTTGGTTTTGAAATGACCTCCATGGTGATGAATGCCGATCCCAGAAGCGATTCAAAGGGGGAAAGGGTTTTGCGTTTTTTAGAAGTAGCATCTCTGTCAGATCATGCTTGGCGAGCTCCCTGATAGCACCAGCAGTTGGTTTCCTTCTGATGGGATCCTTCCTTCCGACTGGAATGCACTGAAACGGGTTGTACCAGCAGCGACTTTCCCTCTGCCAGCTGCACGACGCGGAGTTCTGGGCATGCCCTCCCAACCCTGCCCTCCTCCGGCCATTTGCATCGCTGATCCGCCCCGTCCAATCAGCCATCAGCGGCTGGATGCTTTCCCTCCCTCCTGCCGTCTTAATGACACAGCAAGCCACGATCCTCGGGGAAGGCGGGCAGGCAGGCAGGCAAGCCAGGTTCCATGAAGAGGAACAGAATCCTGGCGCTCGAGTCCGTGTGGCCCCGACGCAACGCCGTGTGTTCTGGCGACACCCTGTGGGAGGCCGTGCTATAGGCCTGGCACGGTGCCCACGCCCAGGGTGGCAGCTAGGTTATGAGTGTGTGCCCCCATCTGCTGTCCGTGGTAATAAAAGAGTCAGAGCGAATGGGGGGGGGAGGGGACCGTCTCACGAACCTCCTCCTCCTCCTTCATAACTGAATGCCTTGCCCTCGGTTTCCCCGTCCCCTCCAACATTTTTTTTTTAAGTATGCCCTCCTTGACTAATCCTGCCCCTGTGCCTGTTGAAGGAGGCTCAGCCGATCGCCGGGGGCAAGGCGCCTTCGGGATGGCAGCTGGCCCTCGGAAAGGACCGACCTCTGCCTGGGCGTCCAGCTCTTCGCGCAGTTTGACAACTTGCTTCCCCGCCGGCCGCCGCCCTGACGACCCATCTGCTCTCTCTCTCTTCTCTTGGAAGGTTTGGTTCCAGAACCGAAGAGCCAAATGCCGAAAGCAGGAGAACCAGATGCACAAAGGTAGGTAACCGCTCGGAGGAGGACGGGCGGCGCGGAGGGGCGGCCGGGCCGGGCTCCTTCCCTCACCCAAGGCGTGTCTCTGCTTGCAGGGGTGATCCTCGGGACGGCCAGCCACTTGGACGCCTGCCGGGTGGCCCCTTACGTCAACATGGGGGCGCTGCGGATGCCTTTCCAACAGGTAGCTCGTTTGTCTTCCTAGTCACCCCGGCCTTGCCGCCCCCTGGGGCGTGGGCTGCCCAGAGTCCGTCGGGGAAAGGGGCGGGGTTTCCAGGGGCACACCCTCTGAGCGCTGGACGACCTGACGGGGTGGAGCCAGGAAGCCACGCCTTTCCTCGCCCCTCCCAAGAGGCTCACCAAATGTATTCCCGGGTCAGAGCTCGCTTCAGCGGGGAACCCAGGAGCCAAAGTTGCCGTCTCGGTACTGAGAAGGGGTTTCGGAGAGGCGAACCCCGATCCCCAGAAGTCTTCGCCAATCTGTTCCGTGGGCTTTGGGAGCGGGAGTGCCGAGCGCTGCTGCAGAGGCGGGCAGGGTCCACGCCCTCCACTTACCCTGATTGAAGAATCCAGAGGGGGTTTGGCACTCGGCTCCTTTTCTCAGTTTTGGGGCTCCTCTAGCTGCCAAAGTGGAGTGCTAGATTGGAACCTAACAGGTGCAGCCCTCCCACGAACACCAGCTGAGTTACAGGGAGTGTTCCCTCTAAGCTGAGTTAGTGTAAACTAGCTCACAGTTTTTTTAGCCTCCAGCTCATACATTTTTGTCTTAGCTCAGGAAGGATGGCTCCAGAGCAAACTGATTTATGCAGGAGCCAAATCACTCGCTCACAACTTTATTGTCACTTCCAGTAGCTCACAAAAGAGAATTTTTGCTCACAGAACTCCACAGTTTAGAGGAAGCATTGGTTTCAGGCCCGCTGTTAAAGGAGCAGGAACCCCCCCAGGAACCAGGAAGAAACATGGTCGTCATCCTAGCCTGCTAAATGTCAAAGAACCTTAGACGGTGGTTGGTTTTTTTTAAAGCACAGTTTTTCTTTTGTTCGATTCATTCATTTACTTACTTTATTTCCTTTATTTATATGTTGGCTTTCTCCCCAGTGGGGACTCAAAGTGGCTTACATTGTTCTCATCACCTCCGTTTTTATCCTCACAACAATCCTGTGAGGTAGGTAGGCCGAGAGACTGGACACCCAGCGAATTCCATGGCAGAGTGGGGATCTGAACCTGGGTCCCTCAGGTCCTAATCGGACACTTTAACAAGTTAACAGAGAAAGACTTTAATCTGGAGAACCAGGTTTGAGATCCCCCACTCTTCCATATACAGCCTGCTGGGTGACCTTGGGCCAGTCACGGTTCTCTCAGAACTGTCTCAGCCTCACTTACCTCACGGGGTGCCTGGTGTGGGGAGGGAAAGGGGAGGCGATTGTAAACCGCTCTGAGACTCCTCCCTTCTCCTCCACCACCACCACGCTGGCTCCGTCTTCCTTCCAAGGAGCTCTGGGAATGAGCTTCCAAGGCAGAATGGGGATTTGGCGCGCGGGGGAGGAGGGGAGTCGCCCACTGTCCCTCCCCAAACTGCCACACTAGTCCGGATCGCCCTTCTGGTTCCTTCTTCTGTATCCCAAATGGAGGGCTCTCTGGGAGATTTAGAGTTCTCAGAGATCTCCTTTCAGGACCCCACCAATGCAGGCTCCTTCCTTCCTTCCTTCCTTCCTTGTTCCTTCTGCATCCCAAATGGAGGGCTCTCTGGGACATTTAGAGTTCTCAGAGATCTCCTTTCAGAACCCCACCAAGGCAGGCTTTTTTCTTTCTTTCTTTTTTGTAACCCATCCTACAATCCCGGGAAGTAGGTTGGGTCGAAAGGTCCTAAGTCACCATCATGAGATGTGTAGGTATTAACAAATAGCTGGGCCAGGCGTGAAACCTGGCTCTGCGCTGCAGTCCTGCAGACTGATGGTGATGGCCTGGCCGGCTGTTCCTCCTTTAAAAACCCGGCGGAGCCCCTACCGAGAAAGGATGGCCGGCCGGGAAAACGACGGGGCAAGCCTAGGCTTCAGTTTTGCAGCAGGGGGTGTAATCATATTTGTCCACCTTATGGGGTTGTTGTGTTGAGGGCTTTGTGAATGACTTCGAACATCTCAAGCGCTCTACAGATCGGGAAGAGAGAGTAGGGTTTGCTGGGAAGAGAGGCTGTGCTGCAGCCGATCCAAGTGATCTTCTGGCCCTCCAGAAAGCTGAGCTTTTCCCTTCAAAACAAATCTTCAATAGCCTGACCAGAGGCAGCGGGAAGCATTCGTCAGCGGGGGCCAAAGACGGCAACGGCGTGGGAAGGAACCAGCAAGCGGCAGGAAGGCCGGCCAGCCTAGACTACGGAGACCCGCTAGAATTCGAACCCAGAACTGGGAGAGAAGAACAGACGTCCGCCTTCTGCGCCGCGGCAGACTGGGCATTGGGGATGACGGAGGGTGAGGAGGGCCGCCCACTCTTGGAACCGAGGCATCTGCCGCGCTCCGAAGGTCCGCTCGCTCGCCGCGAAGGAGCCCCGGTGACCTTTATCTTCTTCGCATGTCGTGGAATGCTTCGTTTGCCGACATCCCCAGATGTATACGTAGGCCACTTCCCCACTGTCAGTTTTGTCATTCGTTTGTCCCTATTGCTTCAGGCCCCCCCCCCAATGTGTTTTGGACTCTCTAGTTGTCCCAGAGGGAGCAAGACACATGTGGAAAGGGGGGGGGGAGCAATAGGGACAAACGAGTGACAAAAATGAGAGTGCGGAAGACGCACAACTACGGAAGCGGAGTGAAAACGTGGCCGTTTCCGACAGACCCCGCAGGCGCTTCCTGGCCGCCTAACCGTGGTGCTCGCAGAGGGCGACCTGCCTCCAAGAGGCTGGCCTGAAGATCCTTCTGAGAAACGCGCTCCGGAATGCCGCCTATACGATTCATCAGTTCCACACCGGGCCACGACAAGGTGGAAGCCAAGCAGAGCTGATGTCGCCAGGCCGGTCGTCGGGGACGGGACGGGCAGGCGGTTCTTGCAACCCTCCCACGGCGGGGATCCCAGGAGGGAGGCGTGGCAGAGGCGAACTCTCCTTTTAGAGGCTTTCAGGCCAAGGTCGGGGAAGGAGGGAAGGAGGAGGTCCGACGAACACAAAGCCGTCCAACCGCCAGATCCCGGCAACAGCGCCCTTGCCGCCGAGGCGCCACCAGGGAAGCAGGCCGGGTTCCAGCTCGTTTTCCCCAGGGCTTCCTACAGAGAACCGGGAGAAAGAAGAACCGGGGGAGGGGCTGGAAATCCGGCCGCCTGCCCTAAAAAGGAGCCGTGAAGGGCAAGAGAGAGACGGCCCGCTTTGCAGCCTCACCTCCGTGGCCTCCTGCGGGTGGGAACGAGATTGACCAAGAAAGTGGCTCCATTCACCACAAGGCAGAATGGGTCTCCTCTGCTCAAGGCAAGGAAGGAGAAGGAGACAATAAGTGAACCCCCAGGCGAGACCACGGGGCGGGACTTACTTGTGCCCAGCCCAGGGAAGAGTATCCAAGGCCCCCCTCCCCAATTATCAGCGTTTCTTTACGGTTTTAAAAAATCCTCCAGCCCTTTTCATAACTACGGATGTAAAGCAAACATGCACAGACAGCCTGCTATCTATAGGCTGTGTGTGTGTGTGTGTGTGTGTGTAAGGCTCCTTGCAACGAATGCAGAGGCACTAGGATGATTGACAGGCACTTAGCTTTAAAAAAAAATCTTGAATAGCCACACTCTCTGACATCAGAGGTGATAATTCTGGGTGGGTGGCCCTGGATAGTCTGCAGCAGTAAAATCCAGTATAAAGGTAAAGGTTCCCCTTGCTCGAAAACCAGTCGAATCCGACTCTAGGGTTGCAGTGCTCATCTCCGTTTCAAAGCTGAAGAGCCAGCGCTGTCCGAAGACGTTTCCGTGGTCATGTGGCTGGCATGACTAAACACCAAGGCGCACAGAACGCTGTTACCTTCCCACCGAAGTGGTACCTATTTATCTACTTGCAATTTCTTGCTTTCAAACTGCTAGGTTGGCAGGAGCTGGAACTAGAGACAGGAGCTCACTCCGTCATGCGGCAACCTGGGTCTCGAACTGCTGAACTACTGACCTTCCACAGCCTGCAGTTCAGCGTCTTAACCACTTGAGCCACCACAGCTCCAAAATCCAGTGTAGTGGCACCTTACAGGCTAACCAAATATATTCCAGGTTTGAGTCCAGTGGCACCCTTTTTAAAAACTCTTTTTTTTAATTTTTAAAAATTACATTTATATATAACTACAACATTTTAAACATAATTTAAAGTTAGCCGGCATCAATAGCAAGACTCTACCAAAAGAATCAGTATACATTTTGGTGGGGCAGCCCTGTGGGTCTGAAGCAGCAGAACAAAGTCTGAGTCCAGTGGCACCTTGAAGACCAACAAAGTTCTATTCGCGGTATAAGCTTTCCTGTGCAAGCACACTTCTTCAGACACAAGAGCTATACCTTGTACCATGAATAAAACGTTGTTGGCCTTAAAGGTGCCACTGGACTCAAACTTTGTTCAGACCCACAGGGCTGCCCCACCAAAATGTATTCCAGCAGGAGCTTTCTGGAGCTAAATCTCAGTTCATCAGACCTGGAACAGACAGTCTGAATCACAAGCATGCACACACCTTTGTGTTTCCACTCCACAACCCTGGCACACCTCCTTCCCAACACAGGGTTAGCTAAGCCTCTCTAGCTACTTCTATAACCTAGCATAGGAAAAAGGTACACAGGATATAAAATAACAAAGAGCTTATATGCCTACATCCTTACAGCTAGAAGGTAAAACTGGAAGGATGGCGTTTCCTTCTCTAGTCAGAACAAAGAAACACAAAGACGGAAGAGAAGCCATAAAATGCTAATACTTGACACTTTGTTTCCAATGAGAGTAGCAAACTAGCTCTGAAGTTCCCGGGCTTCCTATAATCTAAATAGATTGGTTACAAACAAACATGTGACTTAACAAACATCATTAACCCAGTAAATACTGAAAGTGTTTTAACTTGTAACACCCAACAGTGGCTATAAATAAATATACCTTAAAATAGCCATTTTGCCCAGAAAGTGGTCAAATAGTAGAAAGGAGACAAGACCTCAGGAGAAAGTGATAGTATGTATCCAACTGTGAATAGTAGGAAGCCTTAGATGGATCCCCACGCCCCCTTTTCATTATCTGAAGCATGCCCTGAAGTGCACAGGGTCTGCAGAGGGGGTTTCTCCTGAGGTTTGGGCTGCAAGTATTTCTGTTAATGTTTGGGGATGTGGATACCAGCTGCAACTGCCATTCAGTCCTAAGCAGAGCTCACCCCTTCTAAGCCACTGACTTCAGCGGAATTCCAGGAGTGTAACTCCGTCTAGGGTTGCACTAGAAGAGAGCAAGAGTCCAGTAGCACCTTAAAGACTAACAACATCTGTGGTAGGGTATGAGCTTTCGTGAGTCACTTCTCACTCCTTCAGATACCTTATAGGCAGGCCTTTTTTTTTTGTAGAAAAGCCCAGCAGGAGCTCATTAGCATAATAGGCCACACCCTCACACAGCGCATGCCATCCCTTGGCTTGCCCGGGCGCCCCACGCCTGCGGGGAGCCTGGCCAAGCTTTTAAAGGCTAGGGCCTCCTGGATCCTTCCAGGCCCCCCCTGGCTCGCCCGCCTTGGAGTCGCCGGGGGTGGGTGGGTTTGCTCTCCAGGCCTTCCCTCTGTAGCCACGCATGCAGAGGTTTTGGCTGTAGTGGGCATGGCCAACTCTGAAGCCAGCCGGAGCTCCGTTACTGTGCGTTCCTGCCCCAAAATAGCCCTGCTTATAGGTAGGGTTACTCTGTTAATCTATAAACTGCCAGTGTCTCCTTCACTTACTTACTTCATTTGTACCTCTTTCTGCCCAATAGGGACTCAAAGTGACTTACATAGTTCTCACCAATGTTGTAGCCTCACAGCAATCCTGTATTGTTGGCAAAGAGTGAATGTCTGACTGGCCCAAGGTCTCCCAGAAAACCTCCATGGCAGAATGGAAATCTGAACCTGGGCTTCCCAGTTCCTAGTCCAACTCTTTAATGAAAGCCTTTTCCTATCTCCCCCCCTGTTGGGATTCTTTTAGAGTAAGTCAGCAGAGTATTAAGAGACTGAGTCCATGGTGTGTATTAAAATATAAAAGTTTACTATAAAGCTAACATGGGGAAAGGTACACAGGATATGAAAATAACAAAGAGCTAATATGTCTACATCCTTACAGCTAAAAGGTAAAACGGGGAGAGCCGAATGGCGTCTCCTTCTCAGGCAGAACATAGAACGGGAAGAGAAGCCAATACGCTAAATACTTGACACCTTGGTTTCCAATCAGACTAGCAAACTAGCTCCAAAGTTCCTGGGCATTCTGTTGTTTAAACAGATTGGTTACAAACAAACATGTAACTTAACAAACATCATTAACCCTGTAAATACTAAAGTGTTTTGACTTGTAACACCCAAACCCCCCCCCTAGAATTAAACTGGAGGTTATAGACAGACATGCAAACAATTTTTCCTGTCTTACCTGGAAGTATTAACGTTGTCTGACTGATTGATAGAAGGGACCCTCTTTGGCAAGATCTTGAACCATGCTCCAGAAGGGGAAGAGTTCATGTCTGTCATGGGTTAGCTGGCAGCAAATCCAAGCCAGGACAACATGGACTTGTAACCAACAGCTGAATGGACACTGAGGGATAAACAAACAGGAGCCCTGTGGCACCTCTCGGACTAACACATATATTGCGGTATCAGCTTTGTAAAACAATGCATTTTCTGATTTATGCCATAATAAGACTTTAGCTTTTTAAAGATTTCTTGCAACTACTTTTTGTTTTGCTACAGCAAGTTGACATGATGACCCCTTTGGAATTTAGTATTCTCTCAGGGGTATGTAACAAGGAAAGGGACATTGGCAGGTAGGTTGCTGCTGATTGCCAGGCCCAAACAGGGGGACTATGGCCCCGGTCACATGGTCTGGATATCGTGGGGGGAAGGCGTGGCTAATTGCCCCGGCGCAGTATGATCCGCGATTACGCAATCAGATGGGCCAGCGGCACACCACGGGTCCTTCCCTCAGCACCAACGGGTAAACGAGGGACCGGAGGGGAATGCTGTGCGCCGGTGCGATCACACCATGGACTTCTGGAAGCAGCCCATAGCAAACGTTTACTAGTACCTTGGAGGTACTAGTTTTTAAATGTGCATTGTTGGCGGTAAGCCACGGGTGCGCTCCACTTCCCAGATGTTGGGGTGTGATCGCGCCCGGATAATCTGCCCACCTTCCGTGCCTCTCCCGCGGCAACTTTGCTGTGTGACCGGGGCCTGTGAACAGTAGATTAGAATGAAGACAGTTTTAAAATACATTGTAACTGCACCCTGCCGGCATTTGCTTCCTCTTTGTTCTGATTCTTTGTGAGAATGTCTTTTTTGCCTTGTATCCGCCTCGTGCAAGGAAACAGATTTCTTATGCATGAATTTACAGATAATTCAATATCTACTACAGTTTGGAACGATGGCTAGAAGCCATGGCTACTCAGGGAAAGCCCCACCCTAAAGGAAATCCATGCCCACTCACCAGGGCCGGATTAAGGCCGATTGATGCCCTAAGCGCAGCTCTTCAATGGTGCCCCTTGGCCCTTCCCTTGCTTAACTGACAAGACATTAAGACTCAATAAGTGCTGAAGGTGAAATAAGAGATTAAAAAGTCAGCTTTCTTCCAGGCTATTCCCCAGGCCAGGCCCCACAACTATATTAAATATGAACTTTAAGAAATATTTAATACTAAATAGCAGTAAGCAATATAAGCAAAAAAATATCTCTGTGGTGCCCCCCATCCCTTGGTGCCCTGAGCATGCGCTTATTTTGCTTCATGGTTAATCCAGGGCTGCCACTTACAGCCTCACCAAGCCACCCAGTTCCCTAAAGTGATATTCAACGCAGTGCTGCTACATACAATTATTGGATGATTCTGAGAAGCAGGAGTTTGTGTCATTGGGCAGACTAACATCACTTTATCCCAGCATAAGCTTTTGTGGACTAGAGTCCGTGTCTTCAAAATAGGAGCCACAAAACTCTTGTTAATTGCTTGTAGTCACAGACTAACTTGCCTACCTGTTTGAACTGATGAGGATGGATTCTCTAAAAAATGATCTCAGTGGTGCTCACTTCCAACCACAGGAAGCTTCCTAGTATCCAAGGGGACTATGAGCTATGCTCCTCTGCCTACTCCTCTAGAAAGCCACACCCAAACAGAATTAGAGCTGCTCATGATGACCAGCTATTGACTGACGTGCTGGACCATTTGTCTACCATATCATAAAAGTTCCTTTTTCTAAGGTCTGATTTAGACCATACAGCTATCATAGAGGAATATGCTTCCACTTGATATATTTGTTCATTTAGAAGGGTTTCCCCCTGCATTTGGCATGTTGAAGTTGGTGGCTTGTCATCACAAGCATCAGCTTCAAGAATGTCATGGTGATTTCGTGGGATCTTTTAAGCCTGTGGCAATTAGAACATTTGCATCATGATCCTAGGAATGATACTTTTATTATCAAGTGGCCATAGATTATGATCAGGTGGCCATAAAGTTCTGTTTCCAAACCATCTGAAAGAATGGCTATATCCAGCTGTCTGTGTCTCTATGATTCCCCTTTATAACAATGGATTCTGCAACTTCCTTTAGATAGTTAGCAGTGACTCCTGGGATATGGACATTCCAGAGCTCCAAGAGGGACAGCCACATTGCAATGGAAAATTTTAAAAAATCCTTTATATCAGCAATGCATATCATCATTTACAACAATCAACACTCATAGCAAGTACTCTTGCCAGACATCATGTCACCAGCTAGGAACGTGGTAAGCTACATTGTGTAGACCAGGCATAACCCTTGTGTGGTTCTTTTCCCAGGTCCAAGCTCAACTGCAGCTGGAAGGAGTCACCCATGCACACCCTCACCTCCACCCTCACCTGGCTGCGCATGCCCCTTACCTGATGTTCCCTCCTCCCCCTTTTGGACTCCCAATTGCCTCCTTGGCAGATTCTGCCTCTGCAGCTGCCGTGGTGGCTGCAGCTGCAAAGAGCAACAGCAAAAACTCAAGTATCGCGGATTTGAGGCTGAAGGCCAGGAAACACGCAGAGGCCCTGGGGCTTTGACATTTCCTTCCCAGATGCCTGTTCGTTGCTAAGGATGGACAATAACTCTCCCTCCTCGTCTCCTTTAGCCCATCTCCAAGCTTGGCTGGGATCTGGACAGTTGTTACTTTTCAAAAGGCCTGTCAGTACTTCTAGAGATGATCTTCCCTGGCCAGTCCTTCCCCACTCCTTCCTTTCAGCAACTTATTCCATTGACCTGAGGACTGAAGGACTCATCCAACTGTCTCATTGTTAAAAGGGCGCTTAGTGCTAATTATGAAACTGTTCCGTTGCCACCAGATGAATATTGCTAGGGTGAGAACACCCTGAATCCCAACAGTATGTGTTGGTTTAAAACAAAAATCCAGACATCTTTTGGGGGAAAGTCGGTGAGGGGGAAAACCCGTCAACTCATGTGAAATCCGTGACTCTTGGAACACGTGGAGTTTGACCCTGGCCAAAGTGATCATCCTGTCAGCTCGACGCTGTCTGCTGCTGCCAGTTTTGCTATTTTGTGCATGTGCCTAACTTTAAAAACCATTTGAAAAATCACCAATTACATTGAAACATGAAAGCTTAAAAAGTATCCTTGGGGCTGGTCTCCATTAAGATGATGTTTCTTCTTTGTTGCCAACAGTATTATTTCAATCCCATGAATTTCTTCCATCACCGTGGACTGCTGCTGCTACCGCTGCTGCAGAACTGGTTTGAATTTAAATGTGGAATTTCAGATCTGAGACAAGGCAGTTCTCTTCTTTAAACAAAGCAGCAATAACACAAAAATGTGTCCAAAAGGCTACATCTTTCGCATGGAACAAACAACAGCAAAAGAGTGTATGTGAAAGGAGAGAGAGAGAAAGAGAGACCCAAACGTGTGGTAATGGGGACACTTATGAACCACATCTGTTTTTTCACAAACCAGCTGAACCAGCCAAGATGCCCGTGCCATATGAACAGGTTTACTTCATCGCTTTTGTTTCCAAATGTCTGGATCTCTCAATGGAAAACCATGCTGGTTTTACAGGATCTAGAATGGTTGATTCATCTGTCAAAGATGGACACACACTTTTAAAGGCATAATACTGATGCAGCATTAATTTTAGTGAAATGCAATTAAGTGCAGTAAAGTGCAATACTGTATATATTATAGATTAAAAGGAAAAAATAGCTGCGCATTCTTATTCTGTTCATAGCCAACTCTGTAGGAACTGTAATCTGGTCCTTTGTGCTCAGACCCGGGAGTTGCTGTTTTGTTGCCAAAATAATATAGTTCTGAGCCTTCTACAGATTGGGAAATAAAAATGAATTACATATATAAAAGTGAAAATACCATGATTTTGAATCCAGTTCATGTGCCATATTTCTGGGCACTAAGCTCAAAAGTCTGTATTAATTATTATTATTATTATTATTATTTGGCAATTGTTTTCAAGTAAGGAAACAAAAACCAAGTCAGTGTCATATAGAGGTGGACACGTTCAGTGGCTGAGAATTTTAAAAAGGTTTAAATTTTGTACACATCATTCATGTCAGTTCATTTCAAGTACATCAGATAGTTTGATTTACTAGTACTTTTAAAAATGGGAGAAAATCCTTTGAACTGAAATTACCAAAGTGTCTGGGTTGATCATACCCATCTCCCTCACTTTTATGTAAATTCCCTTAGATCCATGTATTAACTGGTGCTTCTTCTGGGGGGAAAATACTGGTCTTGTCAACTTCTACCACTCAGTTTATGCCTTTAGTAGCAAGGCCTCATTGATGAATTCTTTGCCTCTCAAAAGCAGTGTCATAAAGTCATTTAGCCTATTGCATTTTCCTCCAGTGTATCTTTCTTTTTTTAAAAAAGAAATGTTTGCAGTTTGAGATGTTTGCTAAGCTTGATCAGTGTCCCCGGGACAAAAAAAGTTCACTGCATTTTAAAAAAATATATAAGTAGATATTTGCAATTCGTGCTCCCTCTTTCTGGTGTCGGTATTTTCCAGCCAACATGTAACCTCATTGTTGGGATTGTACCCCCTCTTTCTCCACATATTTATTTTGTGTAAAGTGATTTTACTTTGAACATGTTTAAATATTGATACATGATTCCTGACTTTCCTACCTCTTTGTGAAAGCCCCAGTACCTCGTGATGCCAAGACTATATAGTGCAAACATAAAATTAAATAGAGCTGCAATCCTGCATGCAAATACCACAAAATAAGCTATATAGCACACTTTCAACATTAAAACCAGCTTTACACAGGTTGACAGCCATGGCATGCTTCACTTCAGAGAATCCTGGGAATCTAGTCTTCTGAGTCCATAAAGTTTTCTGGCAGACATCTTGAGTGCTGTCATTGAACTGTAGTTCCCAGTATTCTTTACAGAAAAAAAACCCCACACCCATGACAGTTACACTGGTTTTGAGTTTGTAGCATGAATGTGCTACAAAACCTGGGTAGGTGTGCAAGGCTGCAGATAAAGGACATAAGCTATAAGGAATGTTGTGTGTGTCAGTCCCACTGAATTAAACCAATGGGAGTAGCACAAAGAGCCAAACTTTGGATTGTGCTTTATGCTAGAGAACAATAGGAAAACTGAAGTCAAGCAGGAAGTGCTTTATGAATCTGTATATAACTCCAACTAGAAAATTAAAGCATATTTATAAGAAGAGATGATCATATATTACCACAGAAAATTGCCAATATTTCTTCCCTTTCTCATACAGCTTTTAGCATGAAGGTGGGGAAAAGAGAATCTGATCCAGTTAATTTCAGTGCAGTCGATATAGTTTCCTTTAATTCACCATAAAGAAGCAGGAGTCTATGGCAACACACATCTTTTTGGTGGGGGGAGGAGATTCACAACCATTTAGGTCATTGTATGACAAAATAACATGACATTTATGTTCTGCTTGAACTGAATCCCCCTCCGCTATGAGAGGGCTAATGAAAGATTTAAATTATACAGTACCCAATCCAGACACGCACTAATTACTACAGAATTTTGTGCTTCAAAATGAAGACAGAGCTGTTTTTTAAATCAATAGAGATGGCTTGCTTTCAATATGCCATAGATTAATATGTCTATTAATAGGTGCTATTAAATGGACCCATTTTGGCCCTCTAAAACCAGGCCCAGTGAAATTTTTCAAAGCACAAAAGGCATATTCTGTCCAGAGGAAAAACAGTGGAAGTTTAGCTAACCCATCATTTAATACCTTTGAATTCTCTTTGGGAGGTATCTGCTACCTTTAGTCAAAGAAGTGCTTCAACCCCTAATCTCATAGCTGCATTTCTTTGTGTGCCATTGTCCATACAACACATTTATGTTATATTAGGTAACCTTTATACCAACCTGCGATTTTCTCTGACACTGGTGATCTGTATGGTATGAGCTTTGTATGCCAATAACACTTTTATTTTCATAAAGAATGTACCAATGTCATACAATCATTCTCATGCATCTGCAAAATTCTGTACACTTGCTTTGTAAAACGGAGTACTGGCCACTGTTAGAGACAGCATACTGGATTAAATGGACCATTGGTGTGATGTTTTCTTTGTTAGTAAAATACGACTGGGCCAGTAGTAATTTTCCTTCCACAAGGGAACTGTTGGTTTTATGCTCTGATGCTAGAGAATGGAATTTGCATATCATAGTGCACAGTTATGCACAGCTATGTCCCAGTTAAATTCATGCACTTTGTGCACATAATATATAACTAAGCTCATAACTGGACTGTAAGAGTTTTGTTCAGGACTCGAACAGTACTGTTTTTGCCAATTAGTAGGGCCCACTTCATATACCATTCCCCCCGGTAAAGAGTGTATCGCTTATGAAATGTGGCAGGTACATTTATTTTCCCAGAAATGCACTTGCCACTTGCCCGGTCCATGTTCTTGCGACACAATAAATTCATTCACTTCACCTCAGATGTGATGGTGTAATGTACTTTTTCCCTGCACAGAAGTTCTCTTGGTGTAGGAAAACTGTCAGCTCTTAGTCATTTCAGCAGATAGTTTGCAGAGCTACACAGTGCAATCCTGTGCATAGTCATTGCAGTCGAAGACTATTGGCTTCAGTGGGCTTAGACTGGAGTAGCTCTACAGAGAACTGCAATGTTAATCTCTCTCTCGGAAAAGGGGGAAATGGTTTGGGAGGACTGTCAGCTGCAGCAGGCTTGAGAAGTGAGCATTGCTGAAGAATCTACAGAACAGAGCAGTGTGTCTCAAGGCAACAGCAGAAATCCTTTCCTGGGTTTCATTTCATATACAACAATAACAGAAGAAAGTGTCCTTACAAAAGCTCGGGAGGAAATTTTTTTCCAGAGAACTAAAAGTGACACAACAAAGTCATTATTTCCCATGCAGTGCCTATTTAGTCTGTCATTATTGCTGATCAAACATCTCTCCTCCCCAGGGTTTTTCAGAGCTTCTAAAAACCCGCAAAGCTGACCACAACTTAAAAAAAATGGAACAACAACAAAAAAAGAACTGTACATCCGGAATCAAGGGTTTAATATATCTCTCCAACCTAAAATAACTTATCTATCTCCAGCCATAGAAATGAAGGTGCCAGTTGGTGCAACTTTTTTGCTTAGCAGATAAACAATCAGACTGACAATTATTTCAAATGATAGGGTGTACCTAGTACTGAATAACCATACACAACTCATTTTCTTTCTTAGTGGCTAGTCCTATATGAGCAGAAACCAATTAATGCTCATGATTCAGTGGGCCCACTAGGAAATAGATCTGCCCTTCTTTTGGTGGCAGTTCTACCAACTAACTATGCTAGTTGATTCATATTAGGGAAAAAACTTTACTTTTGTCTCTCTGTCTCGTTTACTGTAGCTGAAGGAATGACTTGAACATTCAATCATTTATAAGGTCCAAAGGATGTCTCCTACTGTCCCACAGAACTTAAAAGCTATAAACTCCAGATATACAAATGGAATGATCCATCAAGTGCTGCCAGGTTCAGCGGTGAATGAGCACTTGCCAACATGCCAAGAGGAATGTGGTCCAGAGGCATCTTATGGCCCCGTGCCATCTCAAGATACACATGGTGTGTGGGAGAAAATCACTTATTTGAAAGTAACCCCATCCCAAAAGCTCCC